AGGATTTGCTGTTGTGGAGACAAATAGAAGGAGGGCACATTATATACCCTGCCTTGAGCTCTTGCACAAAATATGGCTCAAATAAGCATGTGGGAAGGAAACCAATCTAAAGTTATATCACATTTTAGGTTACTAAAGGATACGTTGCATGATACCAAACATGGAATAAGGTATGAGCATATCCTCGGTGCCTTCCTTTCCATCTGTGGCAAAAGTCTGAGAGAAGAGCTGGAAAGGCAGTCAAGACTTGTGCAGATCTTAGGAATGGTTGCAGAGAAAGTAAAGCGGACAAGTGGATCAGCCAGACAGGTTGGTGAAGTGATCAAGGTTACACACATACACACACGAATGAAAAGCACAGTTACATTGATGAATGATGCAGTCATATTAAAATCAGCCAGAGTTAGGTTGTTAGGTTACTTGTGTATCGCTTTTAGATGATTCTGAGCCTTGCAATCTGGACAGAAATGTACAACCCCAAAATACACCCCTGCTTGCTTCACACACCAGATTATGTTATAAAAACACACTGATATAACTTAATGCTTTATTCATAATGAAAACAGTTCTACAAATTTTATTTAACGAAGTTTATCCTTCAATTGGTTATTAACAGATGGTTCTGCAAAGTGGAATGGAACGTGTCCAGTCTTTTTTCTTGAAAAACAAATGCCGCTTGCCTCTCAGCCCCAGTCTTGTAGCTAAAGAATTGAATGTGAAGGTATGAGCTGTGTGACAATAATCATTGGTTCCCCTATATTCTTCTCATCCTTTCCCATCTCTGCCTATTTACCTTTTGGATCTGTAAATGTTAGGAGATTGATATTCTCTATTTTGTGATCTGCAAGCTTCTCAGGGGAATTGAGGACATAAAATACATATAACCACAGAATTCAGGCCTCTAGTTTTGACTGCTCTGTAAGAATAACTACAAAGTACAGTAGGCTATCATACATAGATGAAATCTTGTGTCCTGCAGAGAGGCTTGCTCAGAGCTAGATGTCCTACATAAGGGACAGAGCAGTCTTCTTAATGATGCAGTACATTTCAAAAAGGTCAAAGCATTTTTAAATAATCCAATTTTGTCTCCACCCTTGCAAAATGCTCACAGCAATAGCTGTTTCTTCAAAACAATCTTACTTCCTATGATCATTCCTCCTTAGGTCAGGCCCAGTTCATATCTCTTCTTCCCTCTTAAAGCTCTCTCCCAACCATGTCACTGGGACATCACTAAGTAATTTCCTCACTGGTGAAACTGGCTGCCTCCGTCTTTCCTCAGTGTTCGAGTTGCCAAGTCATTACTCCTGAATCGGTTGCACTTACCAAGCTGTGTCATTCTCCTTGTTAATTGGCAGAAAGTTGAATCCCAGCAATTGCATTTTTATTTTTAACCTCTCCTTTACTCATAAGTAGCCATTCTGTCTTCCTTATTTAAAACTTTGTTTCTTATTCCCTTTATCTCCTCAGGTTCTCCCTTTCTAAGCTGACCTTTTTCCTAGCTGTGCCTTCTGTGTTCCTCTCCCCCCCTCTATTTATTGTTTGCTTACTTTTCCTGGCAAACTTTCGCTAATTTGTGCAACTTGAATTTTTTTATTTCTCAACTCTGTTGCAACAAGCTAGGTTTGTATTATCTTTATGAAACTTCTCTAAGTAAAAGGAATACAGGATAAACGACATATAATATAAACTTCTAAGTTTTTAAAACTGCCCTTAAAAATTTCCTATATAATTCTGAGGAATCAGGATTCTCCTCTGTTTAAGGAATTCTAGACTGGCCCTGACGATAGACTTCCTTGTTTTTGATGTTGTTCACACTTGAGGGAACAGTTAGTATATTACTAGTAGGTTTAATGGGGTTTAATTAATCCATTTGTTTTAATGTAAAATGTTTACATGTTTGGAATACCACTATTTAAGAATTTCCTGGGCCTGTAATGTTACCATTTTGTAATTGTGTATATTCTAATTTATTTGTTGTTTATTTTTATTATTATTATTATAAAATGAACAACTGAGCAAAACCAAACTTAGGACATTTATCATTTCTATTTAACCTTTTGGTTTTTATAATATCAATCATATTTTGTATCTTTGACAGGCATGTTCCTATTTCAGTTCTAATGCAGTTCCTCTTAAAATTGCTTTGGTGAATGCAGATCCTTTGGGAGAAGAAATTAATGTAATGTTTAAGGTACATTTTTTGTTTCAATTACAGATATTTCCCCTCCAATGCTGTAGGTAGTGTTAATTCCACGGGAAAAAATGTTCTGACTTTTCATGGTCAGAAAGAACCCTCTGGATGCTTTGAGTGTTTGTGGGGGGAATTTGCACATGTTAAATGAGTGTTCAAGCATTTCTAAAATCATCTTTGCTAAGAATAATGGTTTCATTTTAGAACATATGAGAGGTTTAAAACGTTTTGTGCCAGTAGGTACTATTCTGTTAAATTTTGTTTTGCAATGAATTTTTGCCCTTATCTGCCACTAAATTTTGTATTAGATACCTTTTTTTGCGTTTATTTTATAATATTGGAAAAACAGGGCAATCCTTTCTAAGAGAGCAATATTCATGGATTGATGAAAAATTACCACATTAATTGTAATTATAAAAAGAAAACAGATAGCTCTGGAGGGAGCAGACCGTACGTAGTCATTTCAGAGGATCAGCATGCTGTCTGCCTAGGTTATAAGAAGCATTTCAGTTATATTTTCTTTACCTATGGCTTATATTTTTATTCATGCTTTCTCTAGTTTATACTAAATATTGTTTCATAAATGAAGCTTGAGTTTCTCAGTATGATAATTTTCAAATAAATTGTTTTGCAGTATAGGTAGTCCTTGGATTACACCGCTTATTCAGTGACTGTTCAGTTATGACAGCACTGAACAAGTGGTACGTACGATCAGTTCTTGGGGTTATGGCCATCCCAGCACCCCCAGAGGCACGCGATTCGGCTGCTTACATTTAGGAAAGTTGCAGCATCCCTCAGTCACATGATTGCCATTTGCAACCTTTCCTGCTGGCCTCCCAAAAGCAGAGCTAATAGCAAAGTTGCTCCTGTAGGTTGCTCCTACTCCCACCACTTTTCCTCCCAAGGAGTAGTACTGCTCTCACACACAAACACCTACAGACAGATGTGCCTACTCATGCTAGTGCTGGGCCACAGCACCCATTCTTACTATAAAGTGCAGAGAAATAAGGTATTAACAGACTTTGATGAAGAAAGTGAATGAATTTCCTGAGATACACAGTTTGCAGGTGGCACGTTGCTCACCTTGTTCTATACTGTTAAGACCTAGAAAACTGATACTAGAAAAGAAACACTAAAATATCCCAGACCAGTTTCTGCTGTTGTGTTAGTGTATAATAAAATAGGCAGAACTGACATTCATTGAGCCTCTCTTGATATCATTTCTTTTTCTCATTTGTGACTTTTGTTTTTTCTTAGGTTGGAGAAGATCTGCGCCAGGATATGTTAGCGTTGCAAATGATAAAAATCATGGATAAGATCTGGTTACAGGAAGGACTGGATTTGAGGATGGTTATGTTCAAGTGCCTTGCAACTGGCAAAGATAGAGGTAGAATTTTAATTTCTTGTCTTGTGTTATCCTACATGCAGTGTTAAAGGTTTGTCTGGCTACTGTCACAATTTCTGACAGGAATGGCAGACCCAACACCGGTATTGTAAAGCCTGTTTCTCAGATGCCACATATTTGCTAAGCAGCCCAGAATACAATAGCCATAAAAATAATTGGCATTAATTGAACTGCCTAATATACTTGCAAAACCCATCTGCTATTCTAGAAGTCTGCTGCTAGTATACAGAATGTTGAAGAATGTTTACTTTTTTATTTATCCATGTTAAATATTAAGTTGATTTGACTACAGCAGGTGGCAGCAGCTAATTGATGGCTGACTTCCAAAAACATAGGCATATCTGCTTAGTATTTGAATGGGAGACCATGTGGAATTCCAGACTGCAGACTGGGAAATTGAAAAAATGTCTCATAAGAGCACAGTGATAAAATACCTCCATGCTATTTCCAGGAAAACTAGTTTATAAAGTCACCAGCTCAACTTAAAGAAGACTTTGTTCCATTTTTTTAGTTGATTTAAAAATAAAAGAGGATTTGGGGTTTTTGGGATAAGTAACAATTTGGGTTTTTTGGGATAAATAACTGAATTTTTGAATTATTTTACAATGTAGTATTATATAGTATTTTAAATGCAGAGAACTGTATAATAATCTATATCGGCAAGCAATTTGGATTTAGAAACTTTATTTAAAGGTTTTAAGTTAAATATTTTTGATCAAAGGACCACATAGTAATATGTATTATAAATGTTTTATATCTATCAACTTTTGCTGATTGATTTAAAGGAATGGTAGAACTTGTTCCAGCTTCAGATACTCTTAGGAAAATTCAAGTGGAGTATGGAGTGACAGGATCCTTTAAAGATAAGCCTCTTGCAGAATGGCTAAGAAAATACAACTCTACAGAAGAAGAATATGAAAAGGTAAACTACATACCATTTCCAAATAGGAATTTATGAGACCAATAATAGTAGTATCTTATCTGATGAGAGCTAACTCTCTCTGGGACTCATTCACATGTCATATTTAATAATTAAATACAGGACAGTGCTACCTTAAGTGGGTCACTGGCATGACAATTCCAAGTTACGTCTTTGAAATAGCTGGAAGTAATGGGAATCTTGCATTTAAATGACATGCTCAATGCTTGGCAAATCACAAGACAAATGATTTAAATTTAAATTAGGGGTCTTCAAACTGGCTGGCTGAGGAATTCTGGGAGTTGAAGTCCACAAGTCATAAAAGGGCCAAGTTTGAAGACCCCAGATTTAAAAACTTTGCCTCTCCACTTGCATGGAAAACTAACTCCTAAGATTTTCTATTTAATTTTGTCTATTTTAGGCTTCTGAAAATTTCATCTATTCCTGTGCTGGGTGTTGTGTGGCTACCTATGTCCTAGGTATCTGCGACCGCCACAATGATAACATAATGCTTCGAAGTACAGGACATATGTTTCATATTGATTTTGGAAAATTCTTGGGCCATGCTCAGATGTTTGGAACCTTTAAGAGGTATGAAACTATGAGGAAATTAAAATCTTCTACCTCAGTAATTTGAAAACATGGTGGATTTTGCAATTATAATGCACCCTCTTGAAAAACAATGGCTGTAACTTTGCCATATTGTGTTAACTCTTGCTTCTACCACATTGAAGGTGTCAAGTCATGATTTTTCTGTTATGAAATATTTTCACAGAAGTGGTAACGGAATTAGATGTTTCTATAATGTCAGTCACTGTTTTTATAGTTTTCTTAAATTTTGTTTTGCAATGTTGGCGCTTTGTATTAAAATGGGAGCTTCTTTTTCTGAAGCATTCCTGCTCAATTGGGAATCAAGAATATTAAACCATAAAAGCCAGATTTGCAAGGTAACAATTATACACATTTATAGCAATGCTTCCTACCAGCAATTTGAACAAGCAAGTATTTTCATCTTGCTTCACAAATTCCCTGAACTGGGGTGGGGTATAAGTGAAATATAACTATCTTTAGCCAAGTCTTGTTTTAGAACATGGTGAAATTCCAGCATCTGAGGTATCAAATAATTCACTTGTTATTTGAAAACATCTTTAAAAAAATCTGTTCATTGAGATTGATTTGTATTTGCTGTTGATTTTTATATGTGTGCAGAAACAAGTTATGCGTTTTACCTTTGCAACTCAGTTTTAGAGTTTCTTGTTTTTTAAAAAATGTCATACTTGGCTACATGCAGGATGCCGCATTTAAAAATAAATTCTTATTTTCTATCCTTTGAAAGGGATCGGGCTCCTTTTGTGCTGACATCAGATATGGCTTACGTTATCAATGGTGGAGAAAAGCCCACAATTCGTTTCCAGCTGTTTGTTGATCTCTGCTGCCAAGCTTATAATTTAATCAGAAAACAAGCCAACCTTTTCCTTAATCTGCTGTCCCTGGTAATATTTCTATATATTACTGATGTTAACAAAATAGGCTTTAAAACAAAGAACACAACTATGTTGACACTTAATTTCAACGTAAAGTTCTGAATAGCAGGCATAAATCTGGAAAGCCTTTTTTAAAATAAATGCTTGTTTATGTACAAGTAAGTAATGTATGTTTTCTTACTGAAAAAGTAACTGTTCATTTTACAGATGATGTCTTCTGGCTTGCCAGAACTTACTGGAGTTCAAGATCTCAAATATGTCCAGGATGCTCTTCAGCCCCAAACTACTGATGCCGAGGCTACCATTTTCTTCACAAGGTATACTACACAAATAATTTAAAAATCTTGTTTCTTGCATGCACCTATTGCTTGCAGCTAAGGCTAGAGGCTCAATTAACTTCCACAAAGAGAAGTTCTACCTATTTGCCCTTATCTTTGTGCAACTTTAACACCTGGTTTGGACATTTGGGTGTATAGAGGACTGTAGAGATAAGGAAATGTCTCCTTTCTTATTTTGGCCATGAGCCTCACTGGCTCCAGGTAGGTTTCTGGATACAATTCAAGGTGCTAATGACCACAGTAAAGCACTACAGGGCTGGGTTATTTGCCTATCTCTAGTTAGTGCTGCCTATCTCAACAGGATGCATAGAGTGGGCATGCTTCAAGTCCCTTTTTTTCAAGCAGGGTCAACTGATGGGCCTTAAAAAGTGACTGCTTGGTTGCTGTGTCTGCCTTTAGAATGAACTTTCCCACCCTCTGAGATGCAGGCAACTCTGACCTATTAGCCTTTCATGGAGCCATGAAAACCAGACTCTTCTATGCACTGGGCAAGACAGGGATTAAACTTGTTCTGTTGGGAAAGAGAGTGTCTTGTTATTCAGCCTCTAATGGTTTTGTTTTTGTTTTGTTTTTATATTGATGGAATTCTGATTGTTTGGGTTTTAAATTGATCTACACTTCTGAGATGTCAAAGTCATGACTTTGGCAGTTTATAAATTCTGTAAATAGTCAAACAAAAGTTAATATAAATGGCTTTTGCTAATGAAAGGATATGCAGATAATCTTCATTTAACCTATACTCATTCAGCGACCATTCAAAGTTACCGTGGTGCTGAATGAGGGGGACTTGTGTCAGGTTTTCATAGTTGTGGCAATCGCAGCATCCCGGCGGTCCCATGGTCACAATTTAGGTGCTGGGTTCACTTGCAATTATAACATCACAATGTCCTGCAGTCACATGATTGCCATTTGCGACCTTAACTGATGGATTCTGACAAACAAAGTCAATGGGGAAGCCAGCTGAAGGTCCCAAATCTGATCATAAGACTATGGGATGCTTCGACTATGGGATGCTTCGACCATGGAGAATTTGCCCTACAGTGGCAATTGGGACTGCCAAAATTTAGTGATGGAAGTTTGTAATATATTGTGGAGTTTGCATTTCCAAAAAGAAAACTTGGGAATTATTCTATATACACATAGTCTTTTGGGCTCAGCAATAGTAAACTAGTAGCTCTACCATCATCTTTCTCTGTTTTATATCAGGAATATTAATTTTAAAATTTTCTATTATGATTACTATACAGTGATACCTTGATAATACTCATCATTAATTGGTTCCAGGAGGGTGTGACAAGTGCCAAAAGTGATGGGTACCAAACAATTTTTTCCCATAAAGTTGCAAGGCAACTGACACCAACAAGTTCTAGTTGGTACTGGGACAAAATTTTCACACCAAAACCCATCAAGTACCAAATTTGACAAGTTTCAAAGCAGTCGACTACCGAGGTATCACTGAACTAAAATTAGAACTGTGAAGTGATCCCTCATATTCTTATTACAGTTAAAATTGTATATGTAAGAAACCAAAAGATATTGGCACACTTGTAATATATGAAATTAATATTCTTTGTTTATTTCCAGGCTAATTGAATCAAGTTTGGGAAGTGTTGCTACAAAGTTCAACTTTTTTATACACAACCTTGCTCAACTGCGTTTCTCAGGGCTGCCTTCTAATGATGAGCCAATCCTATCTTTTTCACCCAAAACATACTCACTCAAACAAGATGGTCGTATCAAAGAAGCATCTGTTTTTACCTACCATAAAAGATACAACCCAGATAAATATTATGTAAGGCTATGAATTATATTTTGATTCATCATGATTTCTGTAGCTTCCTTCATTCGCTTTAACAAGCATATTTTCACATGTATCCCATTATAGCAGGAATTTCAGATTGTTTTTCATTTGAGTGCAACTTACTGTATTAACCTATGAGTCAAACTATATTGAATGCAGTAATATCACTGAAGGAACTGCTTTAACGGATGTTCCATAAATTAATGATATTTAAGTCTTGGAAATGACTAAGGAAGTTTAGGGTTTTTGTACCAGAAGTCTTCAGACGATCATTTTGTTCAACAATCGTTCAAAGTTATAGCGATGGTGAAAAGATGATACTTACACCTGGTCCTTGAAATTACAGCTGTTGTAGCAGCCCCATAGTCACAGGTTCAAAGTTTGGGTACTTGGCAGCTTGCTCAGGACCGCAGAAGCATTACAGAGTACATCTCCCCCCGTGGCTTTCCCCCCCCCCTTCAAAATGGTTCTGTTTCAGTGAGGTTTGATGGCTCAGTTGCGGGATTGGAGTGGAAAAAGTATATATGGTTGCAGCACCAAGTATTAAAATAATTGTATTCAAAGCAAGCATATCAAGGCTATGATATTATCATGATATGTCAACCCAGCCCTTCTGGCTTGTAAACCATATCTCAAGGCAAACAAAAGATTGAGAATCTTGCTACAGGCATTGTTTTTTTTCATTGGACGATTAGAAATAAATATAAGGGTGTAGCCTTTTCAAGTCTGGTCATGTCTGACCCCCACTCCCCCACCCTCAATTCTGAGAGTTGAAATCTTATCACTTCTGCAGAGAACAAGATTTGGAAAGTTTATAGCACAGGATTACAGGAGTTAAAACTTTTTAAGAGTCAGTGAAATGTTTGCTTTTTTCTTTGGCAGATCTATGTGGTCAGAGTTTTGAGAGAGGGGCAAACTGAACCCACATTCATTTTTCGCACATTTGATGAGTTTCAGGAGTTACACAACAAGCTTGGGATCCTATTTCCTCTTTGGAAATTACCAGGGTATGTGTCATAATTTTCTTTTAGGGGATTGCTTTTGTTTTACATATCTAAAACTTACCTATTTAGAGTTTTAAGATTAGCACATTGCACATTAGAATATTTTCTTAATAAGCACCCTGTTTTGGGGTTAGTTCTGCATTTAGTCTGTTTATATATCAGCTGGATCTATATATCAGCTGGATCTACATGAAGCCCTGAACATTTCAACAATACATATAGTGCTCAGGTTACAACTACTTGTTCAGCAACTGTTCAGTTTACAGTGGTGTTAAACAAGGGGAACTTAGAGCCGGTTCTCAGAGTCCTGGCCATCGTAGCATCCCTGCAGTCACATGATTGCAGTCTGGGTGCTTGGTGCCCATTGCAGTTAGGACATCTCAGTGTGCTGTAATCACGTGATCAAGACCTTCGACATTCCCTGCTGACTTCCCACAAGCAGGTGAGGGAGAAGCTGCATCTAGGATACTCTTCAGGTTTTCCCATTTGTATTTCCCATTTCAGTTCACCTTGTAGGGGAAATGAGTGGCATAAAAATTAATAAATAAAAATAAAATCAGATAAATACATTTTGGATAGATGTACATATACAGTACAGGAAACACTTTAGCTGAGATTGTCAAAAAATAGATGTACATACAGTATAAATGCATGAGAAGACATCTGCTGAGTCATCCAGAAAAAATAACTCCTTCGACACTTCATGGAGCAATACTTCATGATGTAATGCTTTAATGCTTTGCATTGCCCTAGTCCAGGGGTAGGCAACCTTGGCTCTTTTATGACTTGTGGACTTCAACTCCCAGAATTCCTGAGCCATAAAAAAGCCAAGGTTGCCTACCCCTGCCCTAGTCTATCTGATTGCTTTTACTTTTTTGCCTCGATGAAAGTGAAGTAACTATTTACCTCTGTTATTGTAGCTTCCCTAGTAAGATGGTTCTAGGAAGAACTCATGTAAAGGATGTAGCAGCCAAGAGGAAAGTAGAGCTAAATAGCTACATACAAAGTTTAATGAATGCATCAACAGATGTATCGGAGGTAACTCTTGACAGTAGTCTGCAAAATACATAGATGATTTTATATACAGTCTGTATGACAGTCAGTTCTTAATTGAAATTTTATCTTTCCCAACCTAGTGCGATCTTATTTATACTTTCTTCCATCCCTTACCTCGTGATGAAAAAGCTGAAGGAATTGATGGAATAACTAGGTGTACAGGTAAGAATATAGTTGTACAGTTTAATTAATATCCTGAATAGCACAATTATTTCTGTGAACTCTGAAGCCTCTGCCATGTGGAGTTCCAATCTATATAAATAAAAATGTAAATGTTCATTTGTTCAAAATCTTAAATCTCCGAAAGTTCTTCACCGATTGCTTTGAAATTTTGACACAACGTTGCATTCGAATACGTGCGTGTTTTTATATACCTACTATTATATAGATGTCACACCTGTGACAGGTAAAAACATGCTTTTTTTTTAAAAAACAGCGCCATCTGTTGGACGTAAAAGCATACCCACAAGCATTGTGAAATTAAACATATTACAAACGTGCGCTTTCTCTTTTCTTTCTTTTCCATTTAACCAGACTGAGCCACAGCAACGCGTGGCCGGGTACAGCTAGTAGAATATAAAGATATACAGTGCAAATTGTGTTAAATCGTTAGAAGTAGGAATGGAACATTCTGGAGAATTCTGGGCATTCTGTTTCCCTTGGATACATTTTGAACATTCTCTCAGACATCACATTCTGAGGCAGTTCGGCAGTTTCTGGAAGAATTATGATTACCACATAAAGTGTAATTACCACATAAAGTGTAATTATGTTGTATAGCCAAATAACCAACAGAATTCAAACTACTGATGAAATCCTGGTCCCCAGAATCCTTTACACGTGCCCTCTCTGTCTGTTCTGGAGGATTTGAAGATCATGAGAGCAAGGAAAACAGCAAAGGGAAACGGCACCCTTTGTTCTAACACAGGGGTAGGCAACCTTGGCTCTTTTATGACTCATGGACTTCAACTCCCAGAATTCCTGAGCCAGCATGGCTCAGCTTGGAAACCTCTCCCTTTTCCCTCAGTGTGGCTGGCTCAGGAATTCTGGGAGTTGAAGTCCACGAGTCATAAAAGAGCCAAGATTGCCTACCCCTGTTCTAACAGAAGCAACCTTCTTGCATAGCATCACTTAAAATGGAACTGTACTTACTTTGTTTCTATTATGAAAAATTTATTATCCTGCCTTTATCACTATATATATATGCAGTTTAATGTACCTAATATTCCTTCTTCCTCTTTTTTTCCCCACAACAGCCTTGTGAGGCTGAGAAAGAGTGACTGACCCAAAGTCAAAATGAAATGTTCATTTGTTTTTAGATGTAGGCCCTTCAAGTCCTACCTCAGGCAAAGTAGGAGGAGAAGTTAAGTTGTCCATCTCCTATAGAAATAAGACTCTGTTTATCATGGTGATGCACATTAAAGATTTGGTAAGTATATAAATGTGTTCAAATTTAAATAATTGTAGTATGCTTTATGAGATTGTCTTCTAAAAGCAAGATGCATATCTTTCTGGGGGCTGAGGAAATCAGGCTCAAGTAATATGAGGACTATCCCCCCAAATAGTGAGGCAATTGAATATTAAAATTAAAAATAGCAAAATCATTAGTTCTATTTCACTAAAATTAAATACTCTCCAATCAGATATTTAACACTTTTTTTTCCTTCTGTCATATTAAAAATTACAATTGATAGCAACTTTGGCGAAGTGAATCAAAACTTTCAGGGACAACATGCAGCCCCATGTCCTTAAGCTTCAGGTTTATTTATTTATTTATTTATTTATTTATTTATTTATT